CGCCTCCGCCACCACCACCACCACCTCCGCCTCCGCCTCCCCCACCGCCACCTCCGCCGCCGTCGCCGTCGCCTCCGCCTCCGCCTCCACCTCCACCTCCACCGCCGCCTCCTCCACCATCTCCGCCTTCTTCGCCGCCTCCGCCTTCTTCGCCGCCTCTGTCTCCATCTCCACCCGAGGCTTCTCCTCCGCCTCTCAATGAGTCTTCTTATAGAAACCGGCGGCTTCATCCGCCGCCGCGTCCACCGCCGCGGCCCGAGGAGGAATCGAAAAGCAGCGGACTTAACACCGGGAAGACGGTGGGGATCGTCTTTGCGGGTTTTGCAGCCACACTGCAGGTCTGTGTTGTTTGCTTTCTGGTTTTCAAGAGAAGGCAGCTTCTGAAGATGGTAGATGCGTATTGAAGTGTAAAAGTCTGGAGCTTTAATGGGATTGGATTTGTTCTAAGAACACGTCGACGAGGAGAAGAAGAAGAAGAAGAATGGTCCGAGGATTTGATCGGAGCAATGGGTGTTTCCTCCATCGGATCAAATCGGGTTTCCTCCGTACGTAAATTGGTAAAAATTCTCCATTGACAACATTTTCGATTTGCCCCTTTTCTTTTCTGTATTTGTTGTTCGTTGAGGTCATGTAGTTTTCATTCACATGCCCAACAATGCTAACTAGAGTGAGATCAAAGAGGGAGGAAACGAAGAAGAAGAAGAATAAGAAAATGGGCTGTGTAACTTTGTGAGTCATGTAAAGATTGTTTAGGAAGTATTGAAACAAACCCGATATCTTAATTTTTTTTTTGTTGAATGTGTTATGTCCATTTGAAGATTCTTGTCACATTCCTCTGTTTCTGGTCTGTGCATCTTGTCCTGAGTCATTGGTTCATGTCTCGGATGTTTGCGTAATGTGCGGACAGAGAATCAGGCTATGTTAAGATGGAATCGAACTATGAAGACAGATATGGGATCTTCTTTGGTTCCTGCTATGGAATCTACAAGCATCAGCTCAATGCCATTTCTCAGGTATTAAGTTTGATGCTTCACAGCTTTCTTGATAGGTTGTCGGTTCATATGAACGGTGCCCGCTGTTTTATAGGTTCTTAGGATGATTATCTCGTACGGTGAATCAATTCTGAGGCCTTAATTCGATTCTTTGGTCTGCCTCCTCTGATTCATGTTTGAAGCCACTGGTTTGAACTGCTTTGTTGGTCTAGGCTAGATGGCAGGTTAGTTTATCATGATCATCTCTCATACAAGGTCTACACTCAGGGGAATTTCCGGTTTTTAAGGAACCGGTATATGGAAAACCGAGAAGAATTTCCGGTTTAAGAAACTGCATTACGCGTTGTCTTTGGTCTTTGGTATGAGCTGGTTCCTCTCTGGACCAGAGAGAGATGCTCTCTTCGCTGGCATTGGCTTTTTTTTTTTGCTTATTGACTTGTTGTATTTGTTAGTATTGGATCGTGCATACATATATATAAGTGCGCATACATGTAATAATTTTATGTATATATACGCTGCTTTGACTTTGTCGGATCATATGATGCTGGTCTGTTTTTGTTTATTCATTTGACAAGGAAGAACATGGCAGCACTTTCCAGAAAAAGATTACTCGATTGGATCTGACACTATAAATAAAGTTCATAATGGGTATATAATTGCAAGAGAAACTAAACTAGCCTTTGTCTATCAAGGTACATTTTCTTGGTGGACCCACACACACATACAGAGATGCATACATATAGGTTTCTGCAACAGTGTATTGTCTGGATGTCCCCACAGAAACAGATGAACTGTGGCATGATCCATCATTGGATGTTCTTTAGCTACCTACCTGGGGGGAAATGAAATCAAAATATCCATATTTAGGAGTTTGAAATATCGCACTTTACAGTTATGATAATGATGCATACAAGCTGTATATGGTTGTTAGAGGAGAAACGCATTCCAAGTTTTTGGGGTCGTACCATAAGACCAATCTCATGTCTCTCTCCGGATTAGATTTGGGTCGGACCATGCATTGTCATCGATCCTCGAGTTGGAGGAGAGATCAAGCCAAGAATCTGAACTGTTCTTGGTGGTCGGGGGCCAGTCCTCGCCGAAGAAATGATGGAGAGGCTTCTTGTGTTCTTGTTCTTGACCTTGATCTTGATCTTGATCTTGTTCATGTGGTTTGGACTCCTTTGGGACAGTTCCTGTGGTCTTGTCGAACATGTCTGTTCCCAACTCAAAACAGTGCCTGCTCATCATTGTTAGCGGTTGGTGATACGGGGAATCTTGGAAACTTCTAGAAGCTTCTGGGAAGAATGACCTCTCACCAACTCCCTCCATTGTTCCATGTAAGTACCTGAAACTGTTTTTGCCATAAACCAAACAGAAACATTATTACCCTTTTTCCTTGTCATGAAAAATGATGCAAAAGCAAGAAGACAAGCAATATAATATATTTGCCAAGACAGTCAATAAAAGGGGGTCGGACAATGTTAGGAACAGAACCTGAAGTCTTTGTCGGTCTGTGAACAAGCACCAGCAGAGCCCAAGACATTCAACTGATGAGAGCTACTGTTCTGAAGTGACAAACCAGAATCAATCCAAGAAGACGGGTAATGGTAATTAAGAGAATGGCTTAAACAGGATCTGCTACTGTTTCCGCTGAACCTAGGACTCGGCTGATGAGCAGAGATGATACTGTAACCATCCACTGAGGAAGAAGAAGAAGTTAGAGATGTTAATGGTGCTGGGTTTTCGAGAGATTTTCTGGTGCGGTTTCTTCCTCTGTGCATGTGTTTCTCGCAGTACTTGGAGTTTGGGTGAGATTCTCGTGAGCATCTCCATTTCTTACCGTCTGTTCTTCTGCATCTTCCTGGTTCTGTGTCTGGTTTTCTCCCCAAACCCATCTGGAAACATCCCCATCCAACTGCAACATCACCATTTTTAGAATATTATATAAGGGAAAAAAGAGGGCCTTTTAAAGAGCAATGAAACCCTAAACCCATAGATTGAGTTATTCGTGAACAACACTCAAACATATATATATATATATATAAATTTTCGGCCGATGGGTTCAACAGGCGACAGACAAAAACTATAAAGCTCCAAACTTTACACATGAGAATCAACAAAAGGTTGAATCTTTAGGCAGTAAACAAGAAGCCCACTTTCTAACTTCTCAAAAAACGTGATTACAATAACAAAAAAAAAGTGAATAATTAAATCATGTTAAAAATGACATTATTTTCGGCTTACAGGGTTGGTGAGGGAGAAGGGGAGAAGAAAAGGAAGAGTGTAAGCTTCTTCGGATGGAGAAGATGAGTTCAGGAGGGACAGGAACACCAGAGACCATGTACTTGTAAACTAGGGCTTGCTGTTCCAGTTCTTGCCATTGCGTTGTTGTAAATGGATACATCTCTGATCTTCCATCTCCACTTCCACTTGTTAATCCCATCATTTTTTTCCCCTTCTCTTACGATGGAGTAGAAAAAAGACAGAACTTTTAGATAGATGATGTGAAGATGAAACAAAGGCTTTGAGTGAAGTTTTCTTCCTTCAGAGAGCCAGCCCGACAGACAAAACACGACTCTTCTGTTTCTTCTTCTTCTTTTCTTCTCCTGGCCTAGGGTTCTTTGCGCTCTCTCTCTCTCTCTCTCCTCAGTTGAAGCCTATCGTATTCTTCACTTCCGTGATGCCTTGCCCTCTCCCTCTTTTATGTATACTGTAAAATCAATTTGTATCGGATTTATTTAATAAAATATTTTAAAAGTGGGCTTTAAATTAAAGTCTGTTTCTTTTAGAGATTTTCTAATTTATGAAAGCTAGGGTTATGACTAACCAAGGCAAGGGTCATTCTACGAGCCAATCATATTTCCATACCATTTTAAGTGAGCGAAATCATTGCAAAGGTTTATAGATCAACGTGATTTATTAGGTTATATATTTATAATCGTATTATATACGTAAAGAAATCTTATTCCACGTTGGTTCATCCGCGTATATACTTGACATCTCTTGTAGATCATTTATTTTAAATAAATGTCTAGCGGTATACAAACGGTCAAACAAACAGAAATCATAAGAAGGAACAGCTTATGAAGTTTGCCATGCAATGACAAAAAAAAAACATTATACATATATATATACACACACACGCGCGAGTGTATGTATGTAGATATTTTTGTCAGTGGTGGGGGTGTAGGACTATGTCACTGGTCCTGCAAAATCTAAAGGTCTTAAAGGGCAGTGTTCTTGTTGCTTCTGCTGCAGCACTTGATGTCCTGACACTCTCTCTGTTCCTATCTTCCCCAAAATTCCCATAACTTTTTTTTTTTCGTTTTCTTGACCATTGCCCTACTACTACATTTTCTCTTACATCTTTTTACCATTCATATATGCGTAAGGTATACTCTTACACAGTCTTTTGTTGTGTGTGTATATATACATATAATATGAATATGTATGATATATATTCATATGCATATAATAATGAATATGTGTGTATATATATTAGAAGCATTAAGATCAATAAAAACATAAAAATATATATGAATGGACAAATATATGCTTTCCTTCGGACACGTTTACTAAGTAAACATATGATTTAGGACCAATCTTTGTATATGGACTTTATTAACTCAGAAATTACGTCTCTTCCTTCTTTCTGGCAAGTGGAGTTGAACACCGAATCTTCAAATATATTACACCATGAGGTTACTGGACTATCTTTTTTTTTAATACATTGGGGAACCCCTATAACTACCTACCCTTACAAACGGAGACGAACTGGCCACCACATGCGCCTAACGGTCCCCCCAGACCTGGTCACCAGGCGCGCCTAACGCTCGAGCCGTAGTTGGGCCTAGGCGCCTGCAGGTCAAACCCCAAGCCCACGCGCACGAGCCTGCGACATACACGTGGGAGGTAAATCAGCCCGTTATGACAGATTGGCAGGCGAGCAGCTCAGAGGAAGGGAGGCGGTAGGATTCGAAGACCCGACCTCATGGAGTTGCCCCCATGCTCCCAACCAACTGAGCTGGCCCCGAAGGGCTACTGGACTACCCTTTGATAGGTCTAAGAGAGGTATATTAGAATACCTCATATGTTATGGGAACTACTTCTTCTCTCTGGCCGAGATTTGAACACGATAGCCATGGAATTATCTATAACCCCACAAACCATCGAGCTACGAGATGACGACCTTTCAAAGCAAGTGTTGTACAATAAAACAAATGAAATTAGTGAGGTGGAATATCACCAATGTAATAATAAGAAGGTTTATCCAATTGTAAATGGATCCAAATGAGACAAATAATCTCTTAGGGGTAAAACTGCAATATAGAAAAGATGGAGGGATCGTTTGTTTAGGTTAAAGACCATTGGATATGGAGGGGGGGCTTTGTTTGTTTGGTAGCAAGTGAAAGAGTACTTTGTCTTAAATGGATATTATTATATTATTATCAGTTTTTTTTTTCTCATTGAAGTGCAGAGAAAGCAGTAATACTGTTCATTGCCCTGTCTCTTTGCACATGCTCTGTCTTCTTCTCTTTCGAACTTCCAAGATATTTTTTCTTTAAAACCCATTCAATTAAAATTTCATATCTTTCGGTCTTTGTCAGCAATCATACAAAATTGTTTATAGATGTATATAATATGCAAATGAGGGAGTGAATCTTTTACTTGTTTATCCAAAGGTTCATGATAATTAAGAATATAATGCATCGTTCAAAGGACCATTGGTCCAAGGGATATTTTTCTACTTTGGAGCATTGGTTTCCATATAGGTTATACATAGGAAAAGGGGGCTTAGGACATAGGAAAGGGGTAAAGATTTTGGCAGATACTATGTAGGGTAAGAGCCCTACTTGGTCCTCCCTTTGACTGAATTATTTTCACCTTATTTTTTTATAAACCCTAAACTCTAACAGCTGTTGGATGCCTATAACTCTATAAGTGTGGTTAGCTAGCTCTCCTTTGATGTTTGTGAAATCCACTTAATTATATTTTCGCAGTAAAATGGAAAGAAGATATATGATTGCTCCTTATTAGCATATGATTGCATGTAATCTTGTATAACATTATTTCTTTCCTTTAGCAACAAGTCACACGGTTGTATATATATCCCTAGGGTTATTCTAATGAATATCTATCAAGACATTTCTTATTCATAATATATACCATGCCATGCATGATGCATGCACGAGTAAAACAAATCTAAAAACTTTGCCTTGTGAATAATGTTTTTTAGTTAAGTATAGTACACATGTTTTTTTTCCAAATAGTTTCCTCCATAAATGATCACACGCACAAACACACACACACACATATATATATATATATAGATAGAGATTTGTCTGTGGTTAAAAAAAACTATTTTCTATGAACAAAATTATTGCAGCTGGTTATGGATAACACCGTGAATAAGTGAAATGACAATAAAGTAATACAATAACCTCAAAACATGAAAAAGGGTCACGAGAAATCATGATCACAATAATAGAAAAACGGTATAATTAAACATACATATTACGACCGTTCACATTATACAAATCTTGACGACGTAGATTTATCGTTTCGTAGTTTTCCCAAAGGCTCGAACCAGACTTACTAACACGCCCCAACAACAAGTTTTCAGACATTGTACGTAAAACTCGATACGTATCTCAAGCATTGGACGACGGTGACTGGTCGGAAGGTCTCGAATAACGGTTTGACCTTCTTCTACAACGTAATATTGCAAAGTAGAACGCAACAAACACGTTGGGGAATACTACAAAGATGAAAAAGCAAAACCAGTCGTAGATCAACAATCTAGATTGAATAGAGGCATTGTTCGAGTGGATCAACTTAAGCGAATGCTTGAACACCACAACCATTGTGGCAACCGCGGCACCCATCATACCGAAGACCAATATCGCCACAAGTTTGCTCCTGCAAAGCCAAAGACATAATCGGATCGAAATATTTTGGGAAATATATATTAGTGACTTTCATAGTGTTTTTAGGGATATCTTTTACATTTAGAAAAAAAAATTGTAGTTTATGTTTATATTTATATTTATATGTAACATGGATATAGTAGATGAGTTAAATGTCCATAATATGAATCAATAAATATATGAGTTGCATGAGAGATGTTATCAAACCGACCGCTTACTCTAAAATTATCCAACCCTACAATTTATGTGTCTTAGGAATTGCACCTGAATGAAAAACCCAAGAGGAGGATGTAAATAGTGGCCATGGAGAGAGTGAAAGACACCATACAGAGGGTGACTAATTCATGGAAGATTGCATCTTTGGAGCCAAACTTGGAGTTCTCGAGCACGGATGTTCCGGCGATCCTCGTACAGTTATGTCCGGCGGGGCCACATCCGTCGTCCTGTTGCCAGACGCCGCCCGGTGGATTCACTGCCACTTGGAAACTGATCGTGGCTAAGACAGTGGCCACAACCAATAGGTTCCCTCTGGAAATCTCTAACCACTCGCCTTGATGCTCAAGGTACTTTGTAAATAACCATTTCCGATTGTTGTTCTCCTCCGCCATGTTCGATCTCAGGTTTTACTTCTTGGTAATGGGCTTTATTATAACCGGGGGATGTATAAGGACTCTTTATCTTCTTGAGAGGCAAGAGTAGTGAATGCAACTGTCATATATAGAACAAGTCCCCGTATAAGCTATATGTATATACACACATATATTGATTTCTTTTCGCCCACGGATTATTTAGCAATTAAGGTTGGGGATTGGATAAGAAAGTTGATCGATTTCTTATGATATCGTTGCATGACTGAATCAACGACAGCGACGTACAACTTGTTTCTCAGTGGCATGGGAACTGGTTCCGCGGTTTTTCACTCTCCCCCGCCAGAAAACTAACAGGATTCGGACATATATATACTCCTTTCCGTACGTGTTTCAAATTGAACATGAGTTTAATTTTTAACAGAATTCGGACTAACATATGCTTAAAGGATTTGGAACAATCCGCGTATATATATCTCAGTTGTTTACACTCGAGAGAGGAGCAAAATCTTCTGTAAACTATAATCTTTACCCCATTGTTTGATCCATTTTCACAACCTAATATGATGCATGAAAACCCTATGTACAAAAGCTTTTCCCTGGTTTCTTGTAAAGAAACTTCTCTCTTAAACCACGCGAAGATTCAAAAAAATATTAAATACATCACAAATACACGCACATATATACATGCATATATATGCATATGGGAAACCTGAAGCATATAAATAATCATTACCGCAAAACTGTAATTGAATTTCCACTATTATCGTGTTCTTTAGAGCAAATGATCCGTTTGTATCGTTTCTTGGTTTCAAAGCAAAGAATGAACAAGAGTGGTTCATTCTTTGAGAGGATTCGGAAGACTAACAGAATTCCCCTTGGTTTGGTATTCTCTAACCAGCCCCCAGGCCGGTTAAGGCACTTCCTTAACCACTCCGGTTCACTCTCGGCTCCTCATTATCATTGTTATCTCTCGTCTCTTGCATGTTCTCCTCCCCCTCCTCCTTCATGCTCAATCACTGACCATTCAGTTTTCTTTTTCAATCTAAGTACTTTTCAAAAGGAAGAAAAGGTCTTCTGAAAACTTTAGGTTCTTGCATTGGAACATTTATTGTAATGTTCTATATTAATATATATGGATAATATTCAATGAATCTATATGGCAATGTATTTATATATTGCTGTGTTAATAAATTAACAAATGTGGTATGATTAATGAGGTTGCCTAGTGACTTATAACGTCTTTTTGTATACTTCCAACCAAACTCTTAAATTTTCCAAGTCCTAGACACAAGTCATCACTCATGTCTCCCTACGGAACAGTTGAACAGTTCAATATATTTAATACATTAGAAAACGACGGCCCACTAAATTTATCAGTTGTTTACAGTCTATAAATGCGTGGAAAAGCCTTCCCAAAACTCAGAATCTTACAGTTTCATCAAGTTACTTGTGCTGCAAGAAAAGAGTTTCTTTCTTGTAGTGCAAGAAATGAGAATTTCATGACTTGATCATGAGACGGTTACTAGACCTCTGTGCGGACAAGAAGATCGGTATGTTGTTTGATTAGATCTCTTGTACGCTCAATTATAAAAGGTTGATTAAATCAATATATACTTAGACGTCCGAAGATTAAATCATTAATAACATATTGTTAGATTTGATTAGGAATTGGGTTTCATCCCTTCCTCTCCATATGGAAATGGCATGATGAGCTCTTTGATGTCTGGTGTGTGTGTGTGTGTATATATATATATAGAGAGAGAGATAATTTGTCACAGGATTTTCTTCCTGGGCTTATAAAAGGAGTTGTGCTTTGGTTTTAGGGTTTTATCTAGGGTTAAATCTGGTGGACGCAATTAAGGATTCTCTTGAATTAATCTTTTATCTTATTCGCAGAGAGAACCAAATGAGAGAAAAGTCCTGTCACGTTGCCGGACCATTAACACGGGGTGGAAGACGAATATATAGTCAGGCTCTTGTCTTGGAATATTTATTAACGCTCCATATTAATATGTATAATATTCAATGAATCTATATATGTGGGAATGTAATGTATTTATATACGGCTGTTTTAGTAAAAATGAATAAATGTGAATAATAAGTTCTCCTCTTGTGGGTCCACTCACTTACTGAAAACTTTAGGATGACAGGTGCAATGCACGATCATTGAATGAAGCTACAAGTGTTTAATTGTAATGATTATTTCTGTTTTAACATGTTCTGAAATGTCTAATCTTATGTAAGTGACACAGATTCGAGATTATGTTTTTAATGGTGGTGGAAACCTCGTAAAATCATTATTATTATTATTTACTTAGAGATATCCATATGGTTTGATTTTTCTCTAACCAGCCTCCTTACCGGTTAAGGAACTTCCTTAACCAGTCCGGTTCACTCGATCGGTTTCTCATTACCGTCCTTTATAAATTCCCAAATTCCGAGTCCTTATCAATTTAGATTTTACCATTCATAACATCCCTCCATACTTTATAACCTATGGTCAGCTCGAATACAAACCCGTTTTGTCGAGATCTCGAATCGTGCCAAATGATGATAACAATAGTCGAAAAACGGTATAGCTAGTTAAACATATATATAAATCTCGACGAAAATCCTCACCCGACGACGACGTAGAGTATTGTTCATAGCTTCCCAAAAGGCTCGAACCAGACTTACTAAACAAGTTTTCAGAAAATCTCAAGCAGTGGACGAGGGTGGCTGGCCGGAAGGTCTCGAGCGGCGGTTCGACCTTTTTCTAAAGCAGGACATTGCGCAGTATAACACGCCGTACTCACAAGCCAGAACCAGTCGTAAATCAACATTCTAGACCGGATAGAGGAGTTGTCCGAGTGAACCAACCTAACGGAAAGCTTGAATGCCTGAACCGTCACGCCAACCGCGGAACCCATCATAGAGAATATCAAGAACGCCACAAGTTTGCTCCTGCAAATCGAAAGACATGATTGGATCGAAGGATTATTACGGCGTCTTTTACATTTAGAAATAGTTGAAGCTTATTTTATTGATCTATATCATTTACAAGCTATACCCGTGATACATATAAATATGAATTTCACGTGAGATATTACTTAACCGATCGACCTATTATCCAACTCAAAACAGAGTTGATGCGATTTAGGAGCCGTACCTGAGTGAAACGCCCAAGAGGAGGAAGTAGATAGTGGCCATGGAGAATGTGAAAGACACAATACAGTTGGTGAGCAAGTCATGGAAGATTGCGTCTTTGGATCCAAACTTGGAGTTCTCTAGTACGGATGTTCCAGCAATCCTGGTACAGTTATCTCCGGTGGGGCCACATCCGTCGTCCTGTTGCCAGACGCCGCCAGGCGGATTGATCGCGACTTGGAAACTGATCGTGGCTAAGACAGTGGCCACAACCATTAGGTTCCCTCTGGCTCTCTCTAACCACTCGCCTTGATGCTCAAGGTACTTTGATAATTCCCATTTTCCGCCCTCCTCGTTGACAGGATGAGCGTTGTTGCTGTTGTTCGGTTCTTGTCTGTTCCCCACCTCCATTTTCGATGAACCGCAGGATTTTTTAACTGGTTGGTAAAGGATTTGTGTTTAAAACTGGAGGAGAGAAAATTCTTCTGAGACTAAGTTTCTCGTCCATTATGAGGGTGACCTCGAGGAAGATATGAATATCAAGTTCTATTTTCAGCAAGCCCCTGATCTTCTTGGTGGTTCAATCACAATTTTTGGAGTTTAGTTCATTATTAATTTTCAAGATAACCTTCTTCGAACAAGTGGATGCAATGCTGTTTGGAGGTGCTGGAAAACGATGTTCTTGTCCCAAGAAAGGAAGACGAAGATCTCTCTCTCTCTTTCTCTCTCTCTCTCTTGTTATTGTTGTGAGAAAAGTCTCACGTAAAATACGTGGTTCTGATTAGTAGCGATCACCCTCCTCGTTTCACTTCTTCTTGTAAACCAACTGAACAGACGATTTTACCCCTAAATTTATGGTATTTACAAAAATAGCCAGGCTAATCGTTAGGGTGATGGGTATTTATTGACTGAAACACCCCAGGTTACGCCGCCTCAGCTTTTCATTAATTCTGTTTTTTGTAATTGAAAAAAAAACCTCTTAATCCACTACTTATTGTTTCTTTTACATCGGCATCTCGAGAATCGGTTCGGGTTTAGGTTCGCGATAGGAATGTATCGATCCGATTTTTTATGTTTTGTAAAAATAGGTACCAATCGATTTTTATATTATGTTCGATTCAGTTCGGTTTCGATTTCAATCCGGTTTGGTTCGTTTTTTTAAAAAGATAGATTTCTTTTGAAAAAATTCGGTTTTCGAAATTTTTAAAACTCAGTTCGGTTTTGAAATTTTTAATTTTTTTAAAATAGTACCGTTCGGGAATTTAGAACGGTTTAGATTGAAAAAAATACCATATTTTTTGTTTTGGTTCGGTTTAAAAAAACCGAAGCGAAACGTCTACCCCTACATCATATCTTTAATAGCGTTTTTGTTCTCTGCAACATTCATTTTGATATTTCAGAACTAGAGAGTCTGAAAAAAAAATTATTGTATTGTTCATTCATCATACTTTCTTTACAGATATATAATTATTAAAGGAGGTAATTTCTTAACCATAATGCTTTTTATAACATAAAATCTATTGTGTATATTGGATTATATCAAATAATTAGGTTAATGGATTTAAGTTGTGTGCCTATTTTTTGTGTATTTATTTTTATTGATAATATTTATCTTGATTGTAGTTTTATTTTTATTTTTACAATTTTGTTAGATATATATTTTTGTTATTGGGTAATCTTTGATTGTGGTTCTATTATTGTGTCTATGTTCCTATACAATCAATATTTTCTATATATAATTCTAAGATATATAGTTCTTAATTAAGTTAATTAATTGGGTGATAAAAAATAATAAAAATATTAATTTTTAATTGTTAATTCAAATAAACGGACTTATGATTGTAAGTTGAATGTATAAACGATTACCATGATTTAGGAAAAAAAACTACCTAGGTAATAATTCTTCCAAGGGTTGGATCTCAACAGTATAGTTGTAATTAATAGGATATAATAAATAAAAAAATGTTAATGTGTCATTTCTTAATAACTTTTTTAACGTCTGTGTTTTTAACTTTTTACTTTCTGTTAATAATATTTTTTACTTAATTTGTAAAGTTGAGAGATTTAATGGAGTCAATTGCAAAAATACCCTTAAATGTCGATTTCACTTACAGCCCATACCCCGCACAGTAACAAAAAAACGACAACATCAGATATACCCTTATAAATGTAGAATCCCTATAATACCCTTCATTTATTTATATAATATTATAATATACTAAAATAAATAAAATATAGATCTATTTTTTATTCATTTTCTCTCTCCTCTTTATCGTTGTCTCCCGCCATACATCGCATTCTCTCTCTTCGAGTTTTTCTTCTTCTCTCTCTTGAATGTCTCTTCTCCACCGCGATTTTTTGGTAAATTTGCTGCAAGAAACAAGTGAAATCTCCAAAAACTCATCGAATAAAGGTAGATGTAGTGGTATTGCCGCTTATAGTGGAAGAAAAACGAATAAGTGGAAGTTTTAAACAAAACCGGTTTTCTGGACCTGGTGAGACTCGAGAAAAGAAAATCATGTTCGGTAGATTCGGTCTGTACATCAATGATATCACAGACGTATGAGTCATAATATTATGTTCGTGCATGTAATGACATTATCAAATCATATTTGGACTAACTCACTCGTGTATTATATGGTAAAAACAGTCGTCAAACTGATCAAACTCGTCAAACTCATCGTAAACACTAATCAACTCATAACACTGGTCAAAGTCGTAACACGCATTCGGGGTTTCATGTTAGGGGTTTCTGAGTTTGACGAGTTTGACGTGTTTGACGAGTTTGACGTGTTTGACGAGTCAACGCGGTCAACCTGTGGTCAAAATGACATTCCGATAGTTCAAAGTTA